CTGATCTTGTCTGGTGAGGTTGCCCCTTTTATTTGGCTTCCACAAACACAGAGGAGAAGGTCAATGTGGTCAGTGAAAGGCTCATGACCCCAGCCTTTACAACCTGGATGACCATGAACAATGCCCCCGGCCCCCTTATTGAACCTGTGGTTCCTTCTGTGAGATGATATTGACCTTTCAGGTTGTTTGGAAGCTTGCTGCTCATGTTTTTAAAGCACTTGCCCAGAGGGGGCGTGCAGGAAGCACACTGGGAGTGCCAGTTGTGAGCCAATGGTTCTCATCCACAGCGAAAGGGGCCACTTTTGGAATGACAAGAGACAGGCATTCTACACAGAGACGCCTGCTGCAGCCTTTGTTCTGATGGCTTTGGGACCAGAGAAATAGGGGCTCTCACCCTATTGCTTTTCTACGTTTTGCTCTTTCCTCTGACCTAAAGTCTACAGCCGTTGTCCACATTACTTCTGATGTTCTGTTTAGAGGCTCACTAAATCTCCGTGAGTTCCCGTGTGTCTTAATACTCAACGGAAAATGAGAGAGTCAGCCACAGTGTGGTTGAAATCTTCTGCCAGTCCCAGATGGTATGCACCGACTGCTCTTTCTGAGTGGGTGCCTATCCATGGAGCACAGATGTTTCTTGGTGTGTGCTCAGTAGGTGGGCTGCCCCCAATATTCTGCACCCACCAGTGCAAAGACTCCATGCCAGCAGCCATTCCAGGGCATCTGCAGGTCTGCTGCCCCAACTACGGGTTCAGGAAGTGTAAGGTGGCTACTCTTGATGCCCACCCAATCTAACTACTACCTTAGCCTGAGTCCCCTCTCTTCTGGATCTGACATAGAATCATTTAGCCTCTCCTTGAGTATTTCTAGAAAATAGCAACTCACTAACTCCAGAACAGGCATGCAGTGAAGTAGAAATGCTACCAAGGTCTTTGTGTGGCTCCAACGCCTTTGTTCTGGAACTTCCATAAATTTGTCTTATGTAGCAGGAGAATACCTGAATTTGGATTCTGGAATTTGACAGCCCATTTATATCTCCATATGATAAGTGTCTTAAAGACAGTCCCTGGCCTTACCTACCCTTACATCGGCAGCTGGCACAAGTGTGGTTGCTGTATAGTTAACAGTGTTAACAAAGCCTGTGAGGGGATGATTGGATGGATGGATGGGCGAACAACTTGTCAGTTGACTCTGTCTCTGCTGATAGCGTCCCTGTGATCTTTAGCAAGTCATGTAACTTCTCTGAGCTCCTTTCCTTACCTGAAACACAAGAATACTGCTATTCTTGATACACTCACTGTCTATCCATTCACTCCATGATTCATCACACACTTCTATGTGGCAGGTAATATCCTATATGCAGGAAATTGGGGGAAAAAAGCAAGCACGAGGCAGTACTGTTGAGAAGCATTCCGTATCGTGGAGATGATACCAGCGTACTGCTCTGGGGTCAGCAGACTGACAGGAATGTCAGGAAATGTGGACAAAACACCTGGCATAGCACCTGTTGCACTTCCATGTATAAGACTTTCAGGTTCTTTTTCCTCAATCACACATGCACTCCCAGATGCACCTTCTCATCAGGTATCTGGAGGGAATAACCAGAGAGCAGTCCCGATCCATTCATACCCTAAATCTGTGTGCAGGATGAAGGCAGAGTGGCCAGAAGGGAGCTACCTCTGACGAGTACTTGATGTGTGCGAGAAAAAAATTCATCTGGGGCTTTGTGTAGGTCATAGACCACAGCTTCTCTGAAACAAGCACGAGCACAAAGAGACCGTCTTTGATGCTGCCTCTCCTCCTGACTCTATTTTCCACTCTGAAATTATTTTCTTAATTTTATCACATTTTATGAGAGTCTCCTTTTATGAACTTCTCGTCATATATATGCATCCATCCACTCCTCCTCCTGTGTACCTATCTACCTTAAGTCATCTATTTCCTCCCCTAAAAATAGTGGGCACCAGGAACGGTGAGTCTTACTGCTCTGTATCCACAATGCTTAGCACAGGATGGATGGGTGAACAACTTGTCAGTTGACTCTGTTTCTGCTGATAGCATGCCTATGACCTCTAGCAAGCCATGTAACTTCTCTGAGCCCCTTAGGAGGTCTCCTTGCCTTACTTGTTGGATGCAAAAGAATGCACAGTTTTTAAACCTTACGCTATGGCATTTATACCCTCTACTCAGTTGTTAGCCTAAATCAACATACACCTCCTCTCGGAAGCACCTGTTGCTCCAGGCAGAATTCAGCAGGCTGTACACCACACTGTGTACATCTCTGTTTCAGCTCTTACACACCACGCTGTGCCAAGTTGCACCATGTTTGCATTCTCTGTCCCATCCCAGAGCTAGGGCAAGGCTTGGTCATGTGCCCTGAAGCATCCTCCATGCTTAATAGAGCATAACTGATGATGGGTGATTCGTAAAGTTTTATCGAATAAATGAAAGACTGAATGAGCAACCAGGATGGAATTCAACTTTGGACAGAATCTGCTTAATAGCAGGACAAAGTCTAGTCATATTGAGCAAGTAGTGGACATAAGTCCTCCTGGCATCGCATCAAGACTATATAGAAACATTCTCTAGTATTTGGTTTCCTAAAGGCACAAGTTATAGCTATAAAGTCCTTGATAAATGTTGGTCCAGTCATTTTGGCTTTTTGACCATCAGTATTCTAGGTCAAAATCTGCCACTTATTTTCATATTTCATTGAAGACAGATTAATATTCTTTGGATGACCCTCACATGCCTGGAGTTGTGACAAGGTACTTTACAAAATTAAAAAATATGAATTCTGCCCAACATACTGCATGATAGATATTTTATCACCATGTTCCAGCATTTAAAAATAGGTCCTGGGTCCAGCGGATAGCATAGAGGTTAAGGTGGCTGGATCCCAACCAGCTGCTCCATTTGAGTCTTGGCCCTTGGAGCTTGAAAAACACACCAGGCACATGTGTGTGCATGCCCAAAATCCTGAGAGAAGAAGGGAGGAAAGGGATTACAACATGACCATTCCCCTCATGGGGATGATTTTTGCACTTTCCTTCTTTTTCTATATCTCTCTGACTCTCTCCAGCCAGTGCACGCATCCTACAGCAAAAACAAAACAAAAATTAATTTAAAAAATCCTAAAGAACAAAAATAATCTGTCAAGTTCATGTGGTTCAAACTTACTGGATCTGATCTCTTGTAGATCTGACCCTAAAACATTGCTGTTTTTATTAAGCAACTTAAGAGTCACAGAATCAGAGAAAAATTGGAAAATTTTAGAAGCCATTTACCATCCAATATGAAGTTCTCTTATGCAACATTTTATGAAAGAAGCAGCTTTCATTTAAATTGTTAAACTTTTGTCTTTCTTAACATCATTTTCCTCCTCCTTCATCTTCATCTTTATCATCATCATTTTCAGCATGATCATTATTTTGTGTAGCTTCAGAGTTTTCTAGTTTTTAGGTCAGAGATAAGACCCTAACTTAGATCTTCAACAACGAGCTATCTAGCCCTTGGGTTGGGCAATTCTTCCCTTCACAAGATGATATATCTGCTTTTTGGTCAACTGTGATTGACAGAAAAGTTTTCAATTAGTATGTAAATGGACTAACCATGTGAATGACTCTAGTTTCACTCTGTAGAAACAATATTGATTCTCATATATTCTGCAACTCTCCCTTCGGATATTTGAAGGCAGTGTTCAGTAGGGCCTATTTTTCATTTTGGACATATTTTAACCTTTCTTATCTGACCCACATCCAGGTTGATCTCATTCCTGGTAAAAAATACTGACGAAGTGTAAACTCGAGCCAGTCAGAGGTGTGGTGGCCAGCCAGAGGCATGGTGGCCAAGGCAGCAGGATCCCTATGGTGTTCGAGCCCCAGATCTGTCAGCTTGAAACGCATGCCAGGCACATGTGCATGTGCGCTCAAAATCCCAAAAGGAGAAATGGAGGAGAAGGGATTGTGATGTGACTATCTCCCGTGGGAGTTGCTTTCTCACTTTCCTTTTTTCTCTCTCTGGTGAGAACCTGTCCTTTCAAGCAAAAAAAAAAAAAAAAAAAAGAAGGATAAACTTTCTGAACAGTGGCATAATGGTAACATGATGCTCTGCAAGACTGATCCACATGGGAAGGTTCTGGGTTCATGTCAGAGACCTCCCTTAATAGGACCTGGAACTGGCTGAAGCTCAAGTGAGTCATAGTTGGGAGTGTCTATCTTTCTGCTTTTCTCACCTTTGCTCATGGAAGAAGTAGATAAACTTAACAAAAGTGTGGTTCTCTCAGATGAGATGTAGGCATTTCTTCTAGACTATTGTGGTAACTGGATGGGCATGGGTCAGAGTCTGCACTTGTGGGATAGAAAAGCTCACCGTGGTAGTTCTAGGGAGTGGAAAAGTGGCCAGTCTCTCTGGGCAATATAATCTGTGGCCAAAGATGGCGACAGATGGCAGATATATCTGCCACTACCCTCCTCAGAGGCACCTTTATAAAATGAGGCTACTCCTTTACATCCTCATGAGTATAGAACCCACCCCTTGTCCAGGGGTCCACAGCTGGGGATGCATTTGATTTCACGGTCATTCAGAATGAGTCACTTCTTACTCCCCAGGGGGAATGGCCATGCCATGATACCTTCTCCTCCATTCTCCTCTTGTGATTTTGGGCACGCACACACACACACAAGTGCCCAGCATGAGTTTTAAGCCACTGGGTCTGAGACTTGAACCACAGTTGACTACATGAGAGTCCAACAACTTAACCATTATGCCATTTGCAGGTCCCAAGATGTGGATTTTTAACCAAGGAGGCTAAATTTGGCCCTGCATAGGACCTGAGTCACACACTCGTTGTTTTGTAGTTGGTGAGGATGGTCATGATGTCTTGCAAACACTGGCTGCTGTGCTCTGGGGCTTTCCAAAGACTGGGACACCTACAAACTTGTTGAGACCCTGTTTGAACTGGGGACAGCACAAAGTCAGAGACACAAATGTCCATTGGAAAGGGCTGTCTCCAGGGCCTCTCAGGATGACCCTCACAAGCAGCAAGCTATAAACAGTACTCAGGAGGCTTCTGGTCACAGATACTGCACACTATATCCCTGTAGGGGAAATGAGCAAGTGGCTTGATTGGCTGCAGAAAATGCGGAGACAGCTGAGCTAGAGGGAAGAAGTGCAGGGCAGTGGAAGATGCCCTAATCTTCGATCACTTGGATCTAATCCCAGCTCTGCGATGCACTTCCTATGTGGCCCTGGCTAATTTACTTCCCCCTCTGGTCTTTAGGTAGACCACCTAAAGATCAAAGGAGATTAGATGTCATGGTCTTATTGCTTACATTGTGAAACTTCTCTGAATTAATGAATTCAAAGGAAACGAATGAAGCTAGTGGCTTTAAGATGAACCAAAAGTTGACTCAGCTGATGTCTTTGAAGAAAAGATGGAGGCCAATCACTCAAATTAGCCATCTTTTTCCCACATACATGGAAAACAATGTCATAAGGAATCTGCCTGACAGTGCTGCAAACATAGAAATATGAGTTCTAAGAAAAAGAATGGGACACGCCTCTATTAAACATGGATCTGAAACGCAATAGGAGAAGATAATTGAACTTACTTATTATTTGGTGCAGTGCCGTTGTTTTACCAGCTTGGGTTTCAAAGGGAATTGCATTAAGTTAGAAAGGATGGTGGGCAGTGAACTCACTGGGTAGAAAAGGACAGAGGCCCTGGACAGGCAGCCTGCTGTCAGCGTCCTCCGGGTTGGAAAGGAAAGCTCAGGTCAGATGAGCTTATGCTTCCACTGCAGACTAATCTTTGGCCAGCCCCTGGCTCACAGTTTATGGCAGCTTTTCAACAGCTGCGAGTCACAGTAAGGTAAGTGCTTATTCTATTCATTTAATCAATATAAAAATGATCATAGTCAATTGATCAGTTCTTCTTCAAAGAAAGCACACATCACATTTTGTTATTTATGTAATTACCTGATCATATTCAGTTTCAAATGGGATGAAATATGAAGCCCTCTGGAGTGAGATGATGTATTAGCATCCAGACCTGCATCTTACTTACATCACCTTTGATATCGGCAGGATAAGTGCAAACATAAATAAAACTCTGTAATAAATGTAACATTTTTGCTCTCTGTCACTGCATCAATCAAGAATGGCCAGAGAGATTTTCACACTTTGCATTTGGGATAGGTGGATGTAAAACTTGTGTTTGGGTCAGCAGGTGGCCCGGAATGTGAGCACCCTTTGGAAAACTGAAAATGAACAAACAAAGCCAAAAAACTTCGGGACTCTAAGGGATTTGTAACATTCACTTTGGGCACCCTAAAACCTTTTGTTTTTTAAAAAAATATTTATTTAATTTTATTTATTCATTCATTTATTTTTAATTTGGCCAGAGGGAGACACGCGCACACACACACACACACACACACACACAGAGAAAGAGAGAGAGAGAGAGAGAGAGAGAGAGAAAGCAAGCTGCCAGGTCCAGTACTTGAACTGTGGTTGGGCATGTGGGAGTGTCCAGCACCTTGACCATTATGTCACCTGCTGGTCCCACCCTAATACCTGTTCAAGAGAAAGGAAGGCAGCTCCAGATGACTGTGAGGTTTGGTGAGAGGTGTGTGTGTCTGTTTATCAGGAAAGATAGCCCACAGTATGAAGACACCATGGACAAAGAAGACGAGAGACAAGCTCCAAATCGGAAGTCACAAGGGCAAATTTTGGTTTTAATTTGGAGAGATTTTTGCTATAGGGTGCATGTGCTTGACAGAGAGAGAGAGAGAGAGAGATAGTGAGAAATCAACCCTCTGCCAACTTCCCAGGGATGGCCATGCCACAATCCCTTCTCCTCCGTTGTCCTCTCAGGATTTGGGGTTCTCGTGCAACATGCCCGGCATGAGTTTTAAACTGTTGGGTCCGGAATTTGAACTGTGGTCGACTTTGTGAGAGTCCAGTGACATAACCATTATGCCATCTGCTGGTCCCATACAAGGGCAAAACTTTGAACTTCAGGTTTTGCATTGTAATCAAGACGCTTAAAAAAAATAAAAGTAAATCTTTGTTTTTATGCGAGAGAGAGATATACAACCACCCCCACAGGTCTCACACCACTGTCCACCCCAGCCGCCCCTGCTATCCAGGATCGTGGGAGCACGTCCCCAGAATGTACAGTAACCAGGGAAACAAACCTGTTGTCTTCCCTATGGCTCCAGCTTCACTGGCAGCCATTACTGCTGCATTATGGGGCTGGGCCCTACATGTTCCTTCTGTGGGTAACCGAATGCTCAAGAGGAGTGACCTTGGGACAGTGTATCTGAGGATGGCTGGTGAGTCAAAACCATGCAGGGAGGTAAGGGGTACGTGCATTCATTAACATGTAAGTGACACATTTGTTGCCATGAAACATGTCTGTAGCAATTCTCATGTGGTAGTTTAGGCACATTTGGATTTGTTTTGACCTGCTCCGTGGTAACAACTGTAATGCCAATTTCTCTCAAGGTGACTTAGTTTTTCAGTTTCATTTTTTTTCTTTAGGAAAGAGACTAAATCAACACGACTTTCAAGTATATTCCACTGTTCTCACTGCTGCGGTAACGTAGAGCATAAGGAGTTGTTATACCAAAACTAGTACAACGCCTGAGTTAGTAAGCAAAATGAGCCATTACGAAAACCGACCAGCTAAAGCTTTTTCCACATGCTCTCAGCTTCTGATGCAGCCTGTGGTCTGATCACTCCAGTTCAAGGCCCACTGAGCCAAGCTCTGGCCGTATGACCCTGGGCCAGTCCCTGCCTCCCTCCGGTCCTTGGCCACCTCACACTAAAATGAGCCAAAGCTCAATTCCTGGCAGCACTGTGCCAGGCAGCTTGATCGTTGGTAGCTCAGGTTGAGTCCCTGCTGTCTTGGTTGAATGACTGTGGGTGAGTAGCATTGAGCTCTGGGAGCCTCAGTTTCCCCATCTGTAAACTAGGAATGCTGATCTCTACCTCACAGGGTCATTGAGAAGCTTCGTGAGTTCACGCAGGTCATGTGCTTTGCACAGAGGCAGGCATGCTGGGGAAGAAGTGTTTGCTGGCAGGCTGAGTGAGCCACACGGAGCGGCAGGTCGTGATCCTTCTTGATTCCCTGGGGTTGCAGTCCTTTATGGCCCTTTCCGAGGCTTAGGAAAAGGGGGCAGTGGGAGCAGGCAAGTGCTCCTTCCTTCCAGTCTTGCTGAGTTCTGAGCCAGGCAGGCCCTGCGTAGGCTCTTGCGATCTGTCTCTGACACGTTCCTGTGCCTCACTGTGCCAGGTGGGCGCGTCGTCTCGCAGGACAGCCAGGACAGTCGTGTGGCTGAAGGAACACATCCTACCCTGAAGCCATCAGTGTCACTCTTCATCCCTTCTCCTCAAGCTGAAGACTCTTTCCAAAGTCACTTGAACAGTTTTTCTTTTTTAATCTTTAAATGGACGTTTTATGCAACAGACAATGTCCCCGACTTGAATGATTTCTTTTGAGCCTGGATAGTATTTCTGTTGCCCACCATCCAATAAAACATTAATCACTGAAATATCAAGCTTTAGAGAGCACCTTCAAATCTCTAACACATCCATATCGAGCGCTTGGGAGAATGGATATGTTACAAATCTGGGAAGGAGCGTGGCTACAAGGGTCCTGGCTTCCAGTATAGACTTGTAAGGCAATGGGGCAAGCCGCTTATCCTTACTGAGAGTCATGCACCCCTAGGAGTGGGGAGAAGGCACCCAAAGGAGGAGAGGCCTTCACACCTGACCTGCATTCTGATGAGTATCCTTAAGAACTCTGCCTAGCCCTCTGAGCTGGTGTCACAGACCTGGGTCAAGTTCTGGTTCTGCTCTTTGATGTTTGGAAGACCTTGGGAACATCATTAAGCTTCCATGAGATGCACCCCCACCCCCTGTCTTGACAGAGGTTGTTGTGAGGATTTAATGAGCAACGAAGTGCCAGCCCCATGGCCTGGTGGTTAGGGGAAACGGATCCCACATGGCCAACCACATGGTGTGAATCCTGACCCTGGCAGGATTGAAATGCACCTTGCATGCACATGTATGTAATGTGTGCTCCAGATCTTGAGAGGATGGGGAAATGGAGGAGCAGAGATTGTGATGTGGCCATGCCCCATGACGAGGCGCTTTCTTCTCTGTGTCTCTGGTGAGCACACAAGCCCTCTGGCAAAATTTTTTAAAAAAAATGAGCAAAGAATATTAAAGCTCACAAACATTGCAACCATGTTTCAGAGCTTGCTATGTTGTCGATGCTACGCCGGTCACTCTCTGCCGTCTTGCAGCCCATGCCACTCTGTGCGGTAGGCGTTGTCATCTCTTCCATGTGGCAGCAGAGATGAGATTTAGTCATTTGTTCACGATCATACAGCTCATAAACGTGGACTCCAGATATCTGCACTCATTATTATAATTAAGTGCCGCTTCTCTCTATAAATGGAGTCGGTAAATAGGTTCCCTGTGCCTGGCATGTAGAAGACGCTTGCAAAATGCTAACTCTTTGCCTTCCTTAGCCCTTTGCAGTTAATGTCTGTCTGAGGACTCTTTCCTGGCAGGAAGAGAACACTCAGCCCTTGTGGGTGAGAAGCCAAAAGCACTTGATAGTTAATGCCCCTGAAAGAAACCCTCGAACAGTGATGGATGGCAAGTTGGTGGCTAAGAGTCCCAGCTTCCTGTCCCCAGTTTGGGGATGGGTGGTTTCTAGACACATTACATCCCGTCTCCTAGAGCTCCGCAGGAAGATCTAGCCCTGCTGCCCCCTGAGGTTCCTCTCGCACTGGCACGACCCTTTGCTGCTGACTCTCATCCCTTCCTCCTGTCCCAACTCCCTTATGAGAGCTTCCTGGAATCACTTCTCGGGTAAACTTCCTCACACAGTCCTCCTCTCCATTTCTGCTCTGTGGGAACTCAAAGCCAGCCTGAGTTTCAGAACAGCCCTGACCTGTCTGGTTTATCTTGGACACCCTGGAACTAGGCAGAGTGCCTAGAAAAGAAGTTCTACCCTCGTCCCGTGGCACTTCTGGGGAAGGCAACTTGATGGATGGAGGTGCTTGGGCATCCAGGGCTCCAGTCCTGGCCTCAGCAGCCACTAGCTGTGATCCAGGAGTT